AGCAGGCTCCACATAGCGTGCATTAGGCCTAGAAAGGTTAGTTTAGTTTAGTTTGCTTCTCCAACATCAGTAGAAAATAGTTTTCCGGGTTGTCCATATTCAATCGTACCGATTTCTACTTTCTAATTGCGTTGTGCGTCGGTATGTGTCCTCTGGTCCTCGACCCTCCTACAAGTACTACCGTAACAGGAGGATGAGCTGGGTTTCGTGGCGCGCCTACTGCGCCAGGTGGGCGTGGCTGGAGGTAATTGACCATTACGGCAATTACAACAATAAAGATAACTGCATTAGGCTTGTTTGGTGTTTTAAGACCTATCAATAAATGAGCTATTAAATAACCGCGGGAGGTGTTATTTAAGCCACCTGGTTCGTGCCAGGAATTGGCTATTTATGAGAAGCCGTGCAGTGGGATCGAACCCGCGTCCCAAGACTCGTCGATACATCCCGTTCTTGTGATTTCAATTCCCGTGCGTTGATTCAACTCGTGGTTGAAACTGCCATGAAAATTGTCTTTTATACAAGCTGTTCCAGGCGCCTCTAAACCTTATTCTTCAGCCATTTTGAAGACTCGGGACATTGTTTAACCGGTACTTTCAGAACTTTATTTTCTCTATCGGACCCTTTTGTTCATTGACCTGTGGCCTGTTGCTCCTTATCGACGCTCTTCCGGGGAATATAAAGTTACAGCTTGACTAGCGTGAGGTTTTGGCTGGTGGACTGAGTGAGTGAGTGAGGGGTTTGGGTGAATGATAGGGAATGGCGGGAAGATAGAGGGGGGGGGGGGTGAGGGGTTGTGGTAAGGGGCCGGAAGCGTGGTGGCCGCTGGGGCCCCACCAGATGGTGAGGAACGTGTGAAATCCTCACAGCCCACACCACCTCTACCTTCTGCTGCCATCTTTGCTTGCTGCTCCCTGCAAAGTGACGGCTGATATTGAGAACCTTTCAGAGCACAACTGCTGATACTCATCAGTGCTGTCTACACCGTGCTCGTAAATATATTCGAGGTAGAAAAAGTATTTACCGATTCTCGGCAAGCAGTAAAGTATCAGACCACCACTCTTATCGCTACGTGCGACCAGGGCGGCCTGGCTGGAGACCGGGCCCCGTGGGGCCGTTGGTCCCAGGAAGCTACTCACGGTAGCCACTCCAGGAAGTAGGATTCGAGTCTCGTGATCTGTTCGTGTATTTATAGCGTTTTTAGGCCGAGCAACAGTTTTCTTGGCTACGTGGTCCTGTTGGCCTCAAGAACAATAGGCGTTTTATTGTAGACGTGAAGGGGGGGGGCGTGCTTGAGGTGACGGTGCTGTAGGTGGTAGTAACGGCTTTGGTGTTGTATTGTAAGTTTACAGTTCCTTTATACTTTGGTCTTCTCTCCTCTTGTATCTGCTCCCGCCCTCTTACTCCTCCAAATCCGTAAAAGTCTCTCTATAAACACGATGCCAAGCCTGGCACCTTCTGTGGAATACATCTTACCTGTGTCGTTTACGCCAGTGTTGTTTAAGATTCAGCTAATGGGAACAAGAAGTTCCAAGTAGCATGGGCTATGGTGAGCCCGTAGTGGACTTACCTGGCACAGGAGCGGTGCTGCTGATGGGAGGGGTTGAGCGGGGGTAGTATTCCGTGAAGCCTGGAAAGAAGGCAGGGGATAAAGTACATAAAGCTGTACATATGTATATTTTTTTAAGAGCTCGCGGCCCGTGCTATGTGGAAATGTTAGTCCCGAGTAGCTAAATCTTAACACATTTTTATGGCCCCTAGTGAGGTTTTAGGGCCGATTGGAGCTGTTTACAGAGTACATGTTTAATTTTATATATATATATATATATATATATATTATATATATATATATATCCACAAGGTCTTCTCTGAACACTATTTATTTTCTTCTTCGAGGATGTGGGTCCCTTTAATTAAACCAGTGGTGGTACCCCTAAATATATATATATATATATATATATATATATATATATATATATATATATATATATATATATATATATATATATATCTTGAGCAATAAATTAAATTGTGAGATTTAGTGAGTAGTGAGGCGAGGGTGTTACGGGGCCAGCGCCGTCACAACTACAAGGTCAGCATTAGTAGTATTAGAAGTGCCTGTACTACTTTGCTTCACACTCGGAAGACGAAGTCAAGGACAGTCTGGCCGTCCTCATCGTTCTTCACGCTCTCTTCTTCTCTCCCCCCATCTCCAGTTCCTTGTTTTATCCCTCTGGCTCTTCCTGTGTGTGTGTACTGTTTGTGCCTGCAAAAATAGTTATTAGCTCTTGGACCCCTCCTTTCTAACCGATCTATTTTGTTCTATTATGTGTACTACATATGTCTCTACACGCACACACGCTCGCACATACCTAGGAAACCGCTATCAAAATTCTGGAACCTATTTACTGCCATGTGAACAGTAAATAAGTTGATCAAGTGAAAGAAACTGCCCATTTGTTTCTGCTTCGGCCGGGAATCGAATCCGGGACTACAACCCCCGAGCGCTGTCCACTCAGCCGCGAGGCCTTGTGTGTGTGTGTGTGTTCGTTCACCATCAATATGACGAATTTGTTTGAAATACCATCGTTATGATATTCAGTGAAGGATAAGCATGTACCTTTATTTGTTGAGTGACTATTTATAGTAGGAGGCTCGGTGTTGGACGATGCCTCTCTCCACATGTATAGGTATTTATTAAGGGGCGGCTGGCGTTTAGTTAGTGTGTGAGTTGGCATGGTTCAGCTGTCCTCCAACCTCGCCGCCCTCTTTAGTCACTCCGCCCTTCGACCTCTTTTCTCATAATTTTCCTCTTTACATATTAACCCAATTTCATGGCGCTCTGAAATTACAATATCATGCTCGTTAGCCCTAACAAATTGGTAGTGTATGGTGGGGCCATCGGTAGCGCTCGTCCAGTGTAAGGTGTAAGGTAGAGGTGTAAGGTGAGGTAAAGGTGTAAGCGGCCTTGAGGCACGTCATCTGAAGACCACACAGGTACTGCTGAGTTTTAGACAGCTTTCATTGTCAAGATTTCGACCCATCCTCCTAAAATTATAGTACATATAGGAACTATTTGGTCTACAGTGCCAAATATGTAGCGATGAACCAACAAAAGGTTAATTTTTGCAATATTGAACTTTGTTAGATGGGAAACTTTAATTGCAACATGAATATAGAAACTAATCTAAAATTACAGAAAGGTACCCCCCCCCCCCTTTAAAATTCTCCCTATGAGTTACGTGGTATTCCTTGCCTGGTAAGTAATACATTTAATACCAAACAGCTCCCTGTCAGCTTGGAGCTGACGACTTTGCCTTAATCCAATCTACGCCTGTGGCGCCCACCAGCACCTGCCCGTCGGCGTCCGTATCCTCATCCTCCTCCTCCTCCCTCCCCACTTCTTGTGGCCTACCCCTCCATACGGTCTGGTCTTGCCCCTTTAATACTGCGTTCCGGCGTCTAGCTCGCGTCTCGCCAATTCCATACAGGCGGACCCGGCACAGGAGGAGAAAACGGGCGTTATGGGAGGGGTTAGTGGGTGAGGGATTCGTCCGCCCATCCCTACAACACTCTTTTTCGACACATGCTTTCTGATAAGTCTCTACCGCCGCCTCTGCGTTTCCTTTCCCGTATTTCTCAAGTTTTATCGGGCTGTACGCCAAACAATACTTTCTATTCCTTTGGGGTGTTGTGCACGTTTGTGTAGTGTCGGGGCGCTGAGATCTATGGTACAGTCAAGGGGCGTTGTGGATGCAGGCCTGATTCGGCTGTAATGTTACGCTGGGCTGCTTCCACAGCCCCACAACAGGGAAGGTTTGTGGTAGGTGGTTCCTGTATGGAAAATACTGACAAAATTAGACAAGGTGGACAATGACACTTTTAAATTAAGAATACAATAAAATAGGACGCCATATCTGAAACCTGAAATCCCAAATTGTGTAGGTAACATAGATCTAAACATAGAAAATACTCGTACCCTATACGGGTGGTAAACAAGAGTAATGCATTAAAATACATTGTCACGCTTGGAATTAGAAATTATCATGTAGCCTGGTCCAAACTCTTGTGTTACTTCATAGGTTGAAAATTCGGTTGAGATAATAGGTTGAAGCTGAAAATTCGGTATGGGCAAGGGTCATTTTAAACCTTTGTGAAACTGCGTCAATGTGTGATGAACCGTTTAGTAGATACATTAGCACCAAGGGGTTGTAGCTAGTTACCTGCCTTATCTGTACCTTTAAACCAGTGCAAGGTTAGATCAAAGGTGAATAAAGTTGAGGAGTGCATTGATCGCCGGGTAAGGGACCCGTAGGAGCGGCGGCCTTGACTAAGGGACTCGTGACCTTGGGTTGCTGGGCTGGTGATAGTCTCAACTGGTGTTCACGGGGCAACAAGGGGCCCGAGGTTAGTTTAGTTAATTTATTATATAACCCATATGTATCCCATAATAAATTAACTATTAATTCCCACAGGGCATGCATGAGTCTCCTGAGACTGCATACGCACCCCATACCCATCTTGTGGGCGGTAGTGGAAAGGGTTACGGAGGCACATTAGCTACCGTTATTAGCCTAAATAATTATTAGTGTGATACCAATCACATGTAAGTGAAAGTAGGATATCTATTGTAATACTTGAAAAACTCTAGGTGTTGGGGAAGGGAATAATTTGGGGGGGTTGTGGGCTCCACACAGTCACTGTCGAAACCTGTTAAGAATTTCGCGGATGTGACACAAATTGCTATACCTGGAGTAAGTTCTTGAAGTTCTACTCGCCATGCTCGGCCTAAAGCCAAGTTGAACTATAACTACTAATTCTTCAGGCCTTCAGACTAATCAGACCTTCCGGTTCCTAACCTGGTTGGGTTAATGTACCCGTTGGTTTAATAACTTCATATGTATTGCTCCTGTTCTCTACATATAAGTGGAAAACTATAATTTTACCAATAATTCGAAAAGATTGTTTCAAATATACTAAAAATACATTTTCTTTTTCACCAGAAGACGAGATAGATGTGGTCAGCGTGGGAAGCCCAGACAGTGCCTACTCTAGTAGTTCGAGCAGAAGCACAAGTAAACGGCATGGAACCACCACCTTCATCACCACCACTACCGGCGGCGGCACTGACTTGAAGAGGATCGTCAAGGTGCGGACTGGTACCCTTCCTGTCAAACCATCAAAGCGTACTAGGAAGCAACTTCAACAGGTCGTAGCAGCTGGAGTGAAAAGACGCCCTAATGGTGCCCTTAACGAAGTTGTGCTACTCCGGAAGGCTAGCGTTTCTTCGTCGTCTCTGAAGAGTCCAAAACGACTTCAAAGAAATCATGATAACACGAAGCGAAAGTCGCATAAGTCAGACAATGATGCCCCGGAGAAACGACAAATGCACAATTCCTTGGAACGCATGAGGAGAGTGGATCTCCGCAATGCCTTTGAAGACCTACGGTTACTTGTCCCAGACTTGCATGATCGTGACAAATCCCCCAAGGTGGAGATCCTTAAGAAGGCGTCTCACTACTGTCACGCTATGACGACAAAAGAGCGAGCTTTAGCGCAGGAAAAGGACAAGCAGAAGCGGTACCAAAGCGAACTACGTAAACGGCTACTAATTTTAGAGAGAGAGAGACAACAACGCAAATAATTAGTAACTCGTGTTAGGTATAGGTGGGGTAGCTATACCCCAGACCACAGTGGTGCCTGCAGGAGGTCTTCGGCGTGTTGATGGACCCCTGTGACTCGTAGAATGATCATTGTATACTCGGGGCGACTTAGTGCTTCTGGAGTGTTAATGTCACAGTTGATATATATTTTTGGAGTTGAGAGGGAGCATCAGCACGCCGCAGGCATCTAGCTTAATTTTTAGAGTGGGTTAAGTTTTCGAAGTATATAGTTAACCTCGGTAAAGCTCGTGTCCAAGAACTAAAGTGTAAATAATATTAGTAGCAGGACAGCCCAGTGTAGCTAAACCTGATGTTTCACAGAGAACTAAGAATCCTAAGGGTTTTCAGCCCGCATTGTGCATCATCAGTTTGTTGAAAGATATAACAGAACTGCAGTGTGTTTGAGGTTAATTAAAATCCTAGTGTTGTATGTGTAAATCAAATGTGTGTTTTGCAAGTTGAATATTAATAATTTTATTTAGTGTTTGGTCACGAATGTACCTTTCGTCGGCAACCTGAATATACAGGGAGCTTGTACATGTGTAGATTAGTTAGAATACGGATTAATTTGTGATATATATTACGTATATCTAGTGGCAAGGCATAACCTGGCGGAGAATGAACGTACCTTCAGGTGAGCAAGTGTGGATACTTCCGGATCCATACGAACTATGTCAGGCTTGAAAAATGCAACTGTCAAATTTGATAAACAACCATATTCCTATGTTACTGTAGCTCACTGGAGAGTGCTTGTTGGTGCAAACTTGCTTCTGACACCTTTTATGGTAGTTTCCTATTGTCTTGAGAAGCTAAGTTGACGGGCATTGTGAGGATGAATGACGTATCATTTTGGACTGCAGAAATTGTCACAACAAGCTAAGTTCCTTAAAACTCGAAGTGTCATGTGGGAATTAGTTCTAGAATGATAATATGGTGTGTATCATATTTCACTTTAAATTTACAGCATATATAGATTAGAGAAGGTTCATTGAAAGCTGTGTGTAAATCACGAAAATTAACACGTGATGAAAAATTTTAGTGTCAGACCACGGAGGAAGAATTGAAACAGGAATTTCCTTAAGTACTTTCGTATTTAATAATACATTTATTATTAATAATAATATTATTTAATAATACATCTTCAGTCCCTTCTGAAGATGTATTATTAAATACGAAAGTGCTTAAGGAAATTCCTGCTTCAATTCTTCCTCCGTGGTCTGACACTCACATATATATATATATATATATATATATATATATATATATATATATATATATATATATATATATATATATATATATATATATATATATATATATATATATATATATATATATATATATATATATATATATATATATATATATGTCGTACCTAGTAGCCAGAATGCACTTCTCAGCCAACTATGCAAGGCCCGATTTGCCTAATAAGCCAAGTTTTCCTGAATTAATATATTTTCTCTAATTTTTTTCTTATGAAATGATAAAGCTACCCATTTCATAATGTATGAGGTCAATTTTTTTTATTGGAGTTAAAATTAACGTAGATATATGACCGAACCTAACCAACCCTACCTAACCTAACCTATCTTTATAGGTTAGGTTAGGTAGCCAAAAAAGTTAGGTTAGGTTGTCGAAAACACATTAATTCATGAAAACTTGGCTTATTAGGCAAATCGGGCCTTGCATAGTAGGCTGAGAAGTGCATTCTGGCTACTAGGTACGACATATATATATATATATATATATATATATATATATATATATATATATGTCGTACCTAATAGCCAGAACGCACTTCTCAGCCTACTATTCAAGGCCCGATTTGCCTAATAAGCCAAGTTTTCATGAATTAATGTTTTTTCGTCTACCTAACCTACCTAACCTAACCTAACCTAGCTTTTTTTGGCTACCTAACCTAACCTTACCTATAAATATAGGTTAGGTTAGGTTAGGTAGGGTTGGTTAGGTTCGGTCATATATCTACGTTAATTTTAACTCCAATAAAAAAAATTGACCTCATACATAGAGAAAAGGGTTGCTTTATCATTTCATAAGAAAAAAATTATAGTAAATATATTAATTCAGGAAAACTTGGCTTATTAGGCAAATCGGGCCTTGAATAGTAGGCTGAGAAGTGAGTTCTGGCTACTAGGTACGACATATATATATATATATATATATATATATATATATATATATATATATATATATATATATATATATATATATATATATATATATATATATATATATATATGTCGTACCTAGTAGCCAGAACGCACTTCTCAGCCTACTATGCAAGGCCCGATTTGCCTAATAAGCCAAGTTTTCATGAAATATTTGTTTTTCGGCAACCTAACCTACCTAACCTAACCTAACCTAACTTTTTAGGCTACCTAACCTAACCTAACCAATAAAGATAGGTTAGGTTAGGTTAGGTAGGGGTGGTTAGGTTCGGTCATATATCTACGTTAATTTTAACTCCAATAAAATTTTTTTTACCTCATACATAATGAAATGGGTAGCTTTATCATTTCAAAAGAAAAAAATTAGAGAAAATATATTAATTCAGGAAAACTTGGCTTATTAGGCAAATCAGGCCCTGCATAGTAGGCCGAAAAGTGCGTTCTGGCTACTAGGTACGACATATATATATATATATATATATATATATATATATATATATATCTTTTTAATAATACAGATTGTGGTTAACTTTGCCATGTTTTATTGCTATTGGTTTGAGTTATTGGCATAATTATGTTTAAGAACTATTATGTTAGATTGTACATTTTGTGCATTTATTAGAATTTCTGCATTTCTTTATAATGTCCCTGGATCATGATGAAATTTTCATAGCATGTTATTGGACAAGGGAAATTTAATTTGATTTTTTGGGAATAATTTCCAGTCTAGATGCTATTTTATTGTTTTTATACAAAGAGTCCATTATTTTGTATGGGCATAAATGTTGCCATTTGATGTAGGTGGGTTGCATCGCCGCGTTGGCTACAACTACTATCGCTCTGCCCACCCCCCACACCCCTCCAATGTTGCCATGACTAGGATTAAAAGAAGTAAATTTGCACCACATTCTACCTTTCCAGATGTTTCTCATCAGACAATTTCCTCCGGCCTCTCATTTCTTTCAGCTATTAACTCTTTCGTTGATATTGCCATTATTTAAAACTTATCTATATATCATAGCATTTTTCTTACATGATTCATTTTGGCTTTTCATCACGTCTCGTCGTTGGGACCTGCCATGTCCCGCTTCATATTCATTTTTATATATAGACATTTTCATTCATTGATGCACACACATCCAGCCCATTTCACCTCATTACTGTATAACTAGTGTAAATTTACTCCTCCACCCACTGGAAACCTCCCTCCCGTTTTACTGAAAACAGACGTGTGAAACGTAGTTGAAACATTTACTAAACACCACCATTCCTCGCATTAACAATGAAATTAACACGCAACCCATGTCTTTCACTGTTAACTGAGAACCAGTAGTTTGAACAATTTGCAACACTTAAGGATAGGATCCCCCCCCCCCCATACCCCTTAGGAAAATAGTGTTTAAATTGGGGCAAGAGTGATTATGCTGCATGGTGGTAGGCATTCTTTTTTGTAACCTAAACTGAAATATCAGTTTGGTTTTCCAGGAACATGTACAGGTTTTTTTTATATATTTTTTCAAAAGTCGACCACATTTGTTTTTAAAACTATTTGCTATCAAATTGTAAATTATGAATAATTACCAAATTCATGATTGTACCAATTGTATACGGATACTTTTTTAACTACACGGTTGGCTGGTGCAAAGCCTGTATTTATGTACGAAGATGTGGAGCCAGGCGCCTACCAGTTAGCCATGTTTATTTTATTTTTATTTTTTTTTTTAGCTGCTGCCACTGGCATGAGCTCCACAAGAATTGTTTTAAGTTTAATACGTCGTACACTTTGTGACTTTGCACAGGCTTTCCAATTATGAGTGCAAGATTGGAAAACAATCTGATGGCCAAAACAAGTGTTAAAAAGACCAGACAGAGCATTGGAAAAAATATTTACCCTTGAGTGTGCAATGTGTTTAGTAGTCGAAGACTCGGATGGAGCCAGTTTTGTGTGGCCTCTTTCCTCCCCCCCCCCCCCTCCCCTTCCTTTTCCCATCCCTCATTCATTTGGCCCAAAGTCTAAATATATATTTATAGAGATGCATCTCCCCAGTTTCCTGACGGAGAGAAAACTCATGTTTACATGTTAGCTACCACCTTAGGTCTTAAGGAAAGGTTAATAATTACTGCTCAATTTTTTCTCAATTATTTTTGTATGAAAACCTCAAAAAATGCCCAAAAATATTTCTACGGCATAACTAGAAAATGTGCCTACCCACCCAAGAACAGTATGTTGTTACGTCCTATCACGTTATAGTTCTGCCTGGCTCAACTTGACAACATTTTATTTTTATTGTTTTAAAAGATGTGCCACTCAAACAGTACACGAGGTCCCAGAGAGTTTTGCTTTGTTTAATACAGGATTTTTTTTCTACAGTCAATGTTTTAGTTCAGTTCAAAAGTAATAGAGTAAAATGTGAACTTTGTGTTACTTTTGCAATGTATTTAACTAGAAAACTTTATTTAGTTTTAACATATGGGACGATATCTACGAGCTCAGGTTTGTATTGTAATCATCAACCGAGTTCTTTAATAAAGATTTATTATTATTATTTTGTTTTAAATATCCTTGTGTGCAATACAACCAAATCAACCGAGTTGAAAACTGCTTACGATTGAAGTAAATGTGTACATGATTGTGCACTGTAATCCGTTTGAAAAGTATTGTTAATCAATCAATTTACTAAACAGCACAATCTTGCGAATTTATTGAAATCGATCATCAACCTATCAAGAAAGAAAGAAAAATGTGACATGAACGAGTTTGCCTTTAATATAGTAACGTGTGTTATGTACACTAAACCTTTTTTCTACAGTTAAATATTTTAATTAATTACTAGAAGCTATTTGTAAAGTTATCTAAAGGCACCACCAAGTTGGGAAACCTATTTAGCACTCACTGAAATCTGAGCATTCCGGTGGAGGAGATCCGCTAGTGAAAAAAAAAATCCAATGACTAGTCCAGACCCATTATTCTTTCAGCATCAAGATGATCACAGCTCTGGTAACTTGGCATTACCAAAACCATACAACATAGCCTTAAAAGATACAAACGAAGTACAACAATGTGCAGTCAAGCTTGTTTGAACATTTCAGAGATTCAGTTAGTCTATTCGGACGAGAGATAAATTACTATGATAAAGCATTTTTAAAGATATGCTGTGTCTAACAAATAAAAGTAAACTGCATTATCAATTGTTCCATCAATTTATAATTTTCTTGCTTAAACACTTGAACCTTTACTCGACCCCGTGAACTACCCATGATGAAAGTTGTCCCGTGATTATTGGTATACCGGTTAATGCAGTGTCATAAAACTTCATGAAAATGACTAATGCAAAAAAAAAAGTTCACCAGAAATACTATAAAAGTTTAAAAGGGATTAAACAAATATACCAGGTTTACACTATCATAACTCAAAACTTTTAACTTAATCTCTATAGTTTAACTCAATGCACATCGGAGAATGGCCTGTAATGCTATGGGAAAGTAAGTCAGAAATCGAGAGATTGCTCTATGAAGCCTATTTACCGGCTAGACAAACAGCAAAGTATAGAGGTCGGCCAGGAACTAGACACTGCCTTAGGGTGAGGTGAAGGACTGGTAATATACTAACAATAGTAATGGGAGTTGAGCACATCCTATGCTGATTATTACATAAAAAATGTACAAAACCAACTTGCTCAAGCAATAATGAAGAGGATAATAGGTTTGAAAACATCCTGGACCTCAGTGTGTGAGCCTTGACACTAGGAGGAAGATAACAAGCATATTGCACAATGTGTACATTTATTTGCTACGGGCAGAGGCACCATGGTGATTTCGGCGATGCGAAAAAGACGAGTTCTTTTGAGCAAAGGTGAGCAGTGACTACGCTGGGCCTGGGAAACAGGATGCCAGATTTATATAACTGCGAGGAAAACCCCTCTAGACTGATAAAAACCGCGACATTCATAATATCGAATACAACAAAACTGGTACATCCTGGATATAACCGAGGAAAAACAACGGAAGAAGCCTATGCATTTTCTGCCCGATTTCACCAACTTGATAAAAACTAACTGTTTCACATGCCAGCAGGAAACCGTACTGGTAATTCTGCCAACACGTCCTGCAAAAGTACATAATCTTTGCCGTGTGAATTATCAACAGGGAGTTGATCATTCAGGTAGGTAATCATGCACAAGGTATCTTGGTCATTATTTCACGAAGAGTGAGAATCACGTAGGACTCTGGAGTAGAAGCTCTTGTTCTCTAAAGCCCGGTTAAAAATGTTAGCCAAATATGTGATATTTTTCATTTTCTGTGCAAATATCACGAGGCGAACGTGCACAGTATCATACTGTATTAATATTTCTCAGTTTATAAGGAAACGTGGCCGCCACATCACGCGGGCGGTCCGTGAACCGCTCTAACATAAATGATCATTAATTACAAATTTTACCAATATCCATGATGATGAGTGAAGGAAAATTGAGCGTTCCTAGAACAGTCATGTATTTATTACATCAATAAACTTTGCAATTTATAAAAAACACATTTTTAAGTGATTATTATTTATTTTTTCCGTTAAGATGTAAAGACCTCAGCCTATTTCAAAAGGTTATGTATATGCAAATTAAATATAACATTTTATATATAATATATATATATATAAACTGTAAAATAGTCTCAAGATTTGGTCTATATTACAATATTTTCACTACAACAAGAGTGAAGTAAAATGTTTTCAGTCTAGTTAATACGAAGTCATAATTTGCTGGGTTTATGGGAAATATCAGTTTAGTAACTTAAGAGTGTAGCGTCATGAATCTTATTCCCGAAATATAACACTGGCTGTTAAATAGTCGTCATATTAAAGGCAGTTTTATGAATGTAAAGCAAGACTCGACAACTAACCTCGCCATTTCTGAGTGAATTTCTTTACCTATTGGGCAAGCAAGTATGATTATAATGCTTCGAGTGTTAGAAATAGTAATGAGACTTTCCCCTAACATTGTTTTCTGCTGACTATTTGAATTTGCCGGTGGCCAACAACAATAATCAATGGTATTTATTTATAATTTATAAATTTATACTTTTTTGTACCTATTATCATGATGGTAGATTTTTATTCACTAAATTACACCTGTATATAAAGAGTTTAATAAACTTAAAGATAACATTGTGATTTAGTAAATAAATTTTCAAACTTAACAAAATATAATGGGGAATATCGTCTCCATTAAAAGGCCAATGACCTGAATTAAACAGATTAGCAAGTACAGTAGCAGTACTGCTTATTCCTGCATCTGAATTAGCAGATATAAAGCAGGAGAGCAGTAGTGATACCGATTAAAACAGCAGGAACGAACACAACGCAGAAAGAAAATAGCGATGGTAATTTCAGCAGGAGACAATCCGAACAGTTATTCAAGCAGCAAGGGAACAACAGTTCATCAGTATATTTTAACTCTGTTGTTTTATTTTCAGGGACATAATGTTGAACATTGTCCTCAAACGGCCCAGCATCTGAACCTTGGAGTGGCTGTGGCAGTGAAGTGTTTCTGGCTGTGAACGTCTCTCCTCTTCCTAAGTCGTCTTCAGGTTTTCCCTGTGGTACCTCGCCATCTGTACAGAATAGCAGAAACCATTTCTGTACTTTTTCCCATTCAAAAGCTGCCGAACTTCCATGTCCTCTTAATAACTATAGAGCTATTATCCTAAACACACTTAAAAGTATTTGATGTATTAAACTTAGAAGTATTAAAAGTACTTTTGCATACAAAACTGGTTGCTCAAGTCGAGTATTCAATGCTACAACAACTCACTAGGTAGCTGTTCTGTGTTTCACGGTGTTTCCAAAGCTTTTGACAAAGTTGAGCACTTTTTTTTTAAACCATAGCCCAATCTAAAATTACTAGGCAGATTCCAGTTAAGTGTTCTGAAAAGTATCTGGGACATATTATATCCTCAAAAGGCTCCACTTGTCAATTATTAGGATGCTATTAGAGACTTGAAGGTCAGAACAAATGTAATTAGTGAATTTTGTCACCTTTATACCTGGTCGAAAAAAAGTTATTTAACAGTTAATGTCTAAGCTTGTATGGATTTGAATTATAGGACCTACAAAATGCTGATCTAGTAAGATTAATTGGGTAATGTTCTAGACGTATCTAAGGAGTTCATCCTCGCACCCACTGCAGACTTCTACCTGGCCTGCTGTACATACCTACACTTCAGGAAATAATTCACAAACTAAGGTTACAGTTTTGTCTAAAAATGAGTCATGCATCCAGTAAACTACTATTTTTTTTCAGGCACTTGCTTATCACTGGCCACTCCTATGGCAAAATCTTACTGAAGCGACCATATGAGTAATAAATACTCACACTCCGCCCAATTAAAACAGAAACAAGCAACACTTAAGTGGGCCAGCCAGAGGCTTAGGGCCCGCGCAGTGGGCCAGCCAGAGGCTTAGGGCCCGCGCAGTGGGCCAGCCAGAGGCTTAGGGCCCGCGCAGTGGGCCAGCCAGAGGCTTAGGGCCCGCGCAGGAATATCCCTGCAAAAAAAAAAAACAAAAAAAAAAACTGGCCACTCCTACTTTATGAGAAATGTCAACTTTATTGTTAGGAACAATTCAGGAGTGATTATATTATATATATATATATATATATATATATATATATATATATATATATATATATATATATATATATATATATATATATATATATATATATTATGTAAGTTAATGCGCAAGTCTACTGGACACCGTTATATCCTTCCTGCACTATTCACTAGAGGTTACCAGCAATGAAAGTGGCAAACGTGGCAAAATTGATTACCTTAAGCTTATCAGTGAAGCTTTGATTGAGTCAATAAATAAGAACACACGTAGGCTTGTAAAGCTTGTAAATTGTGAAAGAAAAACCGTTCGAGAGCATCTGGGCGTGGCGCCTGCGCAGGAATACAAACCGTTGGTCCACAAATTCGAAACTGTGACGACGAGAGAACGGTTATGTCGGGAAGGTCAGGTGAGGTCAGCACCTGACCTCTGTGTTGCTGTGACCCTTCAGCTTTTGGGGGGCTTAGTGTGTGTGTGTGAGTGTGTGTGTGTGTGTGTGTGTGTGTGTGTGTGTGTGTGTGTGTGTGTGTGTGTGTGTGTCTTCTGTCTCTCTCTCTCTCCTTATCTCTTTTTTTATATAGGTTTCTCGCAGTGTTTCCTGATTAACTCGGTGTCACCTGACTATTCGCGGGGACTAGCAAACTGCCTTTCTTGGCAATTCAGGACAGTGTAACAAGCGGGTGGTTGGATACAAGGGACGCTCAAGCCTAATCCCTTAACAATTCACCACATTCAGGGCGGCCTAAGTGCTGCTTGAACTTTGACCTGAGTTAAGACCAGAGGTCAAAGGTCAAGGGGCCAAACTACCTGTTGTTTACCTCTTGTTAGTTCCAGGAAGAAATGCCCCAGCGGCCCGGTCTCTGATCAAACCTATTCATCAGCTTTAGCAAGAAATGTAACCTTGGGGATTAACATTTACATTTGATCATCCAATAATAAATGAGCTACAATCCACCTCTCCAGTGCCAGGTAAGTCCACTACGGGGTCACCATAGTCCGTGCTACTTGCAACTTTTTGTTCCCAGTAGCTGAATCTAAAACATCAATAATAATTTTTTTGAGTAATATGTCGTTTGGTATGTGTGTAAATATATCAATATATTAACACGACGATTGTTTGTGTGCATATTACATATCTATCAACAACCCATCCACCTGTTTAGATAGTAGCTGTTGTGACTGTCGTCAATAGTCACAATGCGTACGTTCTTAGCTTTTAGATAATTCTATACTGACTAGTAAGGAATTCTTCTACAATAAAATGACGCTAAAACACAAGCTTAAATATTCCTAGGCCTAGTATAGCACACATATGTGCTATATATATATATATATATATATATATATATATATATATATATATATATATATATATATATATATATATATATATATATATATATATATATATATATAATAATAGAGAGAGAAAGAGAGAGAGATGAAGCAACACAAGTGAACCAGTACGTTCCTTCCTCGTTAGCCAGGTAAAATAGTTCATTAAAAGTGAAGGAAGAGAGACCAACCTGACACAGGTATGGTTTGTGGAGTCTGCAGTACAACACACTGGCATTTATAATCATAATAAGAGCAAACCAAATTTAAATATAAACCTACCACGACTACACCCACCTGCACCACCACCACCCACCTGTACCACCACCCACCTGTACCACCACCCACCTGCACCACCACCCACCTGTACCACCACCCACCTGTACCACCACCCACCTGTACCACCACCCACCTGCACCACCACCACCCACCTGTACCACCACCCACCTGTACCACCACCACCCACCTGTACCACCACCCACCTGTACCACCACCCACCTGCACCACCACCACCCACCTGCACCACCACCACCCACCTGCACCACCACCACCCACCTGTACCACCACCCACCTGCACCACCACCCACCTGCACCACCACCACCCACCTGCACCACCACCACCCACCTGTACCACCACCCACCTGTACCACCACCCACCTGTACCACCACCCACCTGCACCACCACCACCCACCTGCACCACCACCCACCTGTACCACCACCCACCTGCACCACCACCACCCACCTGCACCACCACCCACCTACTAATGGGAAACTTTAAATGTAGTTTTAAGTAAAGTTTAAAATGGCAAGCTTCACGTAATAAATTAATTACCATTTTCATAAGCTGTTATTTTCTCTCTCTTCTCTTCTCTCTCTCTCTCTCTCTCTCTCTCTCTCTCTCTCTCTCTCTCTCTCTCTCTCTCTCTCTCTCTCTCTCTCTCTCTCTCTCTCTCTCTCTCTCTCTCTCTCTCTCTGTCATTAAGTCATAGCTGATATAAACATCAGATGAGGCAAGAGGTCACTGCCAATATAGCTAACAAATGTGGTGCAACTCGCACTCCGGCCGCCACCCTCCACACACCCCGGCCTCCCCACCCCACACCCACACACCCCGGCCTCCCCACCCCACACCCACACACCCCGTGCTCCCCACCCGTCTTGTCGTACGTAACCTGGTGCAATACTTTGTGAGAGGTGAGGGGGAAGTGGGGAGGGGGAGGGGAGGAGTAGGGGTATGGGAGAGGTAGGTGGACTAGCAGATAGATAGATAGATAGATAGATAGATAGATAGATAGATAGATAGATAGATAG